AAACTCTTTCAATAAAAAAAAAATAATAATTGAGCCCAAAATTTATGTTGCAAAGTGAGAAATTTGTTAAGTGAGTTTTGCCCCATTTAATGACTTTTCTTGCCACATTTGTTAAGTGAATCACTGCAGTTGTTAAATTAGTAACATGGCTGATAAGTGAATCTGGCTTCTCCATTGACTTTGCTTGTTAGATGACTCCTGGGACACTGCAACAGTCATAAATATGAACCACTTGTCAAGCATTTGAATATAAATCATGTGACTACAGAGATGCTGCTATGGTCATAAGTGTGAAACTGGCCATAAGTCACTTTTTTCCAGCGCCGTTGTAACTTCGGTCACTAAACAAACTGTTGCAAGTTGAGAACTACCTGTAGTTCATTTGGGTCTTTTAATAATCAATGGTATTTATAGTAATTGAACCTTGGTAGTACAGTGGTCTAAAGCACCCTGTTATTAAGACCAGCTGCCTGCATTTACTGCAGGTTCGAATCTCGCCAGGCTCAAGGTTGACTCAGCCTTCCATCCTTTCTAAGGTAGGTAAATTGAGGACCCAGTTGTGGGGGCAATAAGCTGACTTTGTATAAATATACAAAAGGATGAAGGCTATTGCTTAGCACATTGTAAGCCACCCTGAGTCTCCAGAGAAGGGCGGCATATAAATCAAATAAAAAAAAAATAACAACACTCATCAATAGGGTTGATGCAAATGTCCTTGCCCTCCTGGTGTTTACAACCCAGCATTCGATGAAGTAACAGAAGATTGATTGTATGGCAATGAAATGTTGTTTCGCTAATCCTATTGCTGCAGTAGGCAGCAATTCAACATACATGTCCCCCTGGAAATAGATGCTCTAGTCTAGCATTCACTGGAACATTTTCCCAGAAGACCAATGAAGACTTGGCTCTTCACCCAGGCCTTTGGAAAGGAAAGGAGAAACCCCTTCCTTTATATCAGGGGTCTCCAACCTTGGCAACTTTAAGATTTGTGGACTTCAACTTCCAGAGTTCCTCAGCCAGCTTTTCTGGCTGAGGAGTTCTGGGAGTTGAAGGTCCACAAGTCTTAAAGTTGCCAAGGTTGGAGACCCCTACTTTACATCATCTGGCCTTGATTTTTGTTGTCAGTTGCCCAGAGTCATTGAGAGTTGGACTGCTAAATTATTATCTCTTCACAACAATATGAAGTCATGCTCCCAGGTTTTTTAGCTGGTGATTGGCCTTTCTACCCATCAAGTTCTTCCCAAAAACTAGGATAGCATAATGCATTGACTATTATAGTTTGTCACAGTCAGCCAAATATTCAGAGTGGATTTGGCATTTTTATACATCTATTGAGTCCTTCCCAAGGACCTGGGAGAGGCTGATGTGGATGTTTGATAGTATTATCACATGTTCAATGCAGGGGTGAGTTCTACTTACCTTTACTACTGCTTTGCAACGGGATCGCACAGGCGTGCTCGCTTCACTCATGCACGCGCCTTGCTTCTGCACGTGGGCAGAAGCTTCTGCGCATGCGCAGATCACTTCTGATAGTATCAGGGTCAGTGGGCGGAGCCTCCCGCCAGTTTTACTACCAGTTCTATAGAACTGGTCTGAACCAGGGGCAACCCACCACTGGTTCAATGTAATGAATCTCTAAAGTATATGAAGGATGATTAAAATTCTGCTTCCAATAGGATGCTGTCCCTCACACATCCTCGAGCCAAACATTTGTTCTGACTGCCCCTGGAATAATGGAATGGAATAATGGAAGGACCAGGGCTCTCTTCTCTTTCCTTTCCAATTCTTTCCATTCAAGGAACTTATGCCAACTCTAAAGACACATTTGTATAAAAGATAAGCACTTGGGCAAAAAATGATCTTGTTTATGGTCTCAATCACATGCAACATGTATCCCAAGCAATTGCTCCAACCATTTTATGCCTCAAATTCCTTCAGATATTTTGGATTCCGGAAGTTAAAGTCTAGCCCATCTGAAGAATCCTTTGGATTAGTCTTGTGTGGAAAATGTTACTTCCTATTCCTGCTGTAGCAAGGGAAAAGGAAAACCTTCATTTGTGAATGTAAAAGATTGTAGCAGGAAAATGAGAAGGATAGCAAGAGATTCAATCAGTTTGTTGAGCAACATCAACTCATCACAGCTTCTTTCTCTCATTCCTCATCCACCATCATCAGAATAATGGTGGTTTGAACCCTACCAAAAGAAATAACAAATTCTGTCTAAAAGTGGTATTTTCTTTAGGAAAAGTTTCGTTTCAGATCTGTGATGCTAGCTGGCAATAAAACATTTGGATCTAGATGATCCCAGTTTAAATCCTGGGCATCTCCCTTTAATCCTGGGAAGAACGCTTCTATCCAGAGTAAACCTGAATGATCATTTCATCATTCAGGAAAGATTGCTGGGCTGTCAGTCATTTCTGTTGTCTGCTGAAAAGTTGTGGAACAGGCAAAAATAGCTGTCCATAAATCTTTGTCTGTTGCCAAGATTTCTATGCTACTTCATTCTAGACTGGTTTTGGGTGATCGGCAGTCAATGGTTCTTTTCTCCAAGGAGAGCTGATTAAGCAGGTTAAGCTGCCTCATCCTTTTGTACTCTTGATTTCCACAATACACTTTTGGCCATGATTCCAGAAAACAAGAATGATGCATGGCCATGCTCTGCTTTGGTATCAAATTTGAACTCTTATGATTTCTCCCACTTCTATTGGGGGAAGAGAGATTTTGAGAATTCCCAGTGTGAGCAATATTGAGTTAGCTAGTTTAGTGCCCTGATCTGGATATGCAATCTATGCTCCAAGGACTGAAAAAGACAGAACACCTTGGATTATTAGGGATCAGAAGCAGAATGCCTATACTTCTATTTTTGCCTTAGAAAAGAGCTCTGGCCAAACCAATATGAATTACATTGTCAGCTGCCACTATATACTCGATTGTGCTCAGTGGTGGATTTCAAACATTTTTACTACAGGTTCTGTGGGTGTGGCTTGGTGAGCGTGGCTTGGTGGGCGTGGCAGGGGAAGGATACTGTAAAACCTCCATTCCCACCCCACTCCAGGATAAGGTTTCTGCAAAATCCCCATTTCCTCCCAATCAGCTGGGAGGCAGAGAATAGATGGGGGCAGGGCCAGTCAGAATTTTTACTACTGGTTCTCCGAACTACTCAAAATTTCCACTACCGGTTCTGCAGAACTGGTCAGAACCTGCTGAAACCCATCTCTGGTTGTGCTTAACTGCTATATGGTGAGAGATTGCCATGAACTATGGGGAGGGGGGCATGTAAGGGGGAAGGCTTGGGGGAAAACAAAAGTAAGTGCTGTATCTCCTCCAGACTGTTTCAAGGTTACCCAACATACCAGCTGCATACCAAACTGTGCTTGGACTGACAGTTACAAAAAACACCTTGCCTGAACCTGACTGGTTGTATGTGGGAGGAGCTAAGTAGCTAAGGGAGGGAAAAGTTGAATTTAGGGATTTTGGTGTGTGATTTTCAGTTCTGGCTTTGCATTACTAATCTATGCTATACTTATATCTGTTATCTAATACATGCTTGATGAAATAAATAAATAAAAAATAAAATAAATATGCTTGACTTCTAATAAAACTATACCTTTCTAAACAAATGGGGCTAAGAATCATTCTGTTTAGGACTTTAAGCTGTGGCAGGTTTGACGTACTTTGTGATTTGAAGACACTTCTTTTTGGAATGGATTAATCTTTTTCAGGCTCAATGCACCCTTATCCCCTGTATTTCTGGAAAAGACTTCTTTATGATGTTACATATTTGACTACATAAATGTCAGGGTTTTTTATTTTTTTTACTAAATTACAGCTTTGCAACAGTACTTTAACAGTACTTTGATTTTCTAAGGGTTTTCTCTTAATGAAGATGTCAGGTCTGATTTTTCAGAATGAAAGTTATTGTCAGCCCTTTTCTTTTTCTTTGGATCTTCAGGGCTGCCACACTTAGTGCTGTGGGAAAGTGGGAGGGGGGGTTGCATGGAGTTGGTAGAGTTAGATAATGTAATACTCACAAAACCTGTAGATGCATATTTCAGCTTATTTGCAATAAAATCTTCCCACATCATCCAGACGTTATATTTAAAACTGCAACATCAAATTGTAAATTGCCATTGTGTGCATATGCCATCAAACTGAATACAAAATGTAGGAAAAATGCATTTTTCTATATTTTTTATTCAACTTGATGAAGGATGATTTACTTTTGAAATTTCTTTGTTAAAGAATAAGCCAGCACTGTGATTACTGGCATAAGAGGACTTTGGTGTAGTGAAGGTATATGTGAATATCCTCTTTCATTTTACAATTATCCATCAAGGGTTTGTAGCCTCCCTTACTTCTAATGTAACCCAAAAGAACTCCTCCCAGTCTTTCAGATCAAGAACTTCAGGCAACCATGGAAACTGCAGAACATAGCAGAAAAATGTGTAACATGAAAATTAAACTGTTTTTCTTAAATGAAATTCAAATACATTTTGAAGAAAAATTCAAAACAGAACTTTCAAGCAATAAGATAGAGGAAAAATTCAGTGTCACTTTAGTTTAAACTCCTTGTTTCAGTGGTTTTCTTTTTCCAAACCATCTAGTAAAACCAATTTCCAGACAAACTACCCAACAAAAGACGAGGCTCTTAACTCAGTGGAAAAAGCAGAGTTGCAGAGTTGTACGCACAATTGATCAAGTAAATGTCTATGGAGATTCTCAGTCATCCAGGTCATGGTTGTCCAAAAGGTGGGGGGGTTCCCCCCCCTCTTGAAAAAAAGCACCTTTGATCAAGTACAACCCTTTTGCAGATGTATTTGTATGTTTGGTCCTGCAGCCACTCAAATCCTGCTTCCAATGTAGCAGAGATACAATCTTTTCCATGCATTTGGCAAGCCACCTTTTTAAACAGCTGTCCAATTTATCTCAATGGAAGAAGCAGATTGGTGAGCCATTTGCTGAACCGAGGACCCCTCTGCAAAAAAAAAAAGCAAGCCAAACCAACACTATTCCCCAACTGTTTCAAAATATGTATGCATTTGGCACGCCGTGCAAGATCCTTTTGCTCAATAACGAGGCAGGCATCAGAGTTTTTTCAAATCAGTGTTTATTTTATGGCATTTACTGTAATTCATAAAAAGTAGGCAACTATAGGTAGTCCTTGACTTACAACCATAATTTAGCCCAAAATTACTGTAGCAATACTGCCCAAAGTACTTAAGCAAAAGAGTTGTTAAGTGAGTTTCGACTTTTACGGTTTTTCTTGCCACATTTGTTAAGTGAAGCACTGCAGTTGTTAAGTTAGTAACAAGGTTGCGAAGTGAATCTGGCTTCCCCATTGACTTTGCTTGTCAGAAGGTTGCAAAAAGTGATCTCATGACACACACACACACACCCCGGGATACTGCAATCGTCATAAATATGAACCAATTGCTAAGCATCCAAATTTTGAACTTGTAACCATGGAGATGCTGGCACCGTTTTAAGTGTGCAAAGCGGTCATAAGTCACTTTTTTCAGTGCAGTGGTAACTTCAAACGGTCACTAAACCAATGGTTGTAAGTCACAGACTTCCTGTATATATAGGCTGTAGCTTGCTCAGATCAGCCTATTCAAGCTTCATCAAGTACAGTGCAAATGAACCAAAGTAAAAGATGAAGAGGGCTTAGAACAGGGGTGTCAAACTCAAGGCCTGGGGGCCAGATCCAGCCCATGGGGTGCTTAGATCTGGCCTCCAGTGCCACCCTGGAAACAGCAAAGGATCGCCCCACGGTGCCTCTGCCAGAGAAAACAGAGCTTGGAGGGCCTCATGCAGCCCTCCCAAGCGCCATTTTCACTGATAGAGGGTTTCAGGAGGCTGTCGCAGCCAAAAACGGAGCTTGCAAGGGCCACGTGCATCTCTCCCGAGCTCCGTTTTTGCTAGCAGAGGGTTGCAGGAGGCCATCACAGTCGAAAACGGAGCTTGGGAGCCTGTTTTCACTGGAAGAGCACTCAGGCCACCACAGGCACCCCCAACATGAGTGATGTCAAGCTGGGCATGCCCACCCTGGCCCCCCGAGGTCAAACACAACCCTGATGCGGTCCTCAATGAAATTGAGTTTGACACCCCTGGTTTAGAAGGATAATACTCACAATCATATCCATCCATTCAATGAAACTCGAAAGTTCTCAATATAATGAATACTGTGTTGTATAAAACTAAGGCTAAAAAATGCTTCTGTGGAAAAATCCATAGTACACTCCAGACAAACATTACAGTGCAGCAAATCCAAAAATGTCGCAAATAGGAATGTGCTTTTGTCGCAAATAGGAATTTGGGTTTTTAAAAATCATAGCATTACAGGCCTGGATGAACTCTTAGAGGTTAGTCCAACATTCATTCATCCATTCATTCATTCATCCATTCATTCATTCATCTGACTTAGATGACACCAGACTACAACTGACTCTGATTTGATATCAGCCAGTACAACAGTTCAAGGAAAATACTCTGAACATGGCATCGTCCACATAAGCAATTTTCAGGCCCCATTGATTTCAATGAGAATTAATTACACATATGGCTTTTGAAGAAACAGGCATACAATTGTGCTTCAAATGTCGCCTATTGAAATCACTGGAAGCTTAATCAGTGGGTTCAAATTTTTGCTGGATACTCTTATATTTGTTTTCAACTATACAAAATATTTTTGAAGGTACATTAGCAATAAACTGTCAAAAAAGCACACTATAAATTGGTAAAATTTAGAAGCACGTTTTTTCTGTGATATTTCATTACTGAGAAAATGCTACTTCATCATCAACAGACCAGCTTACTCACTGGTGTTTGTGACAGCAGACTTATTGATGAGTAATATTTTCTTTCACATATTGAGTCTAGTACTGTGATCTTATAATGCTCATCTTTCCCAAGTGAGTCACCTCTTTTTTGTTATTCTGCGCATGAGACATCTCTAGTTTCTCTAGAATGGCCGTTCTTGATTTATCCTTTAGCTCAGTGCTAGTTGGCCAGTCCCCCAGATTATGTTTGCCCAGTATATTAACCCAGGATTTTCACAATCCAGTTTTCTAGTTCACACAACACACTAAATTAACAAGTGCCTGGCCAGTATGCAAGTCAGTATGTCTTATGGATACAGCCATATAGCACTGTTAAATCATCACCTAGTAAATGTTAAAATCCAGCCCATTTTACTTCATGCTTTGCCAATAGCTTTTAACTCTTGCTCTCAAGGAAACCATACATAGCAAAAATCAAATTGCCATAAGCCATTAGAATATTCAGAAGACCAGGAGTTAATTTGATCCCTTTGCTTCACATGCCCATTTTCCAAGATCTATTATTCTCCCCATCAGGTAACATACATTTGATTAACATAGGTTTTTCCACCAAACTAATTCCAATTCATGTAGCCATTTTGATTTAGAGGCAAGTATCAACATTGCCTGATTTGTGTGGCAAGCCCACTTCAGATGCTGAACCAGGTTGCGCATCACGGCAGAAAAGCACAGCTGGGTTCTTAAAAGCCCACATAGCCACTTCTCTACCAGTCCCTGGACTGGAGCAGGTCAGGTTATTCCTTACAGTGCCCCCACTGCCATGCCCATAGCTGGCATAGCGTTCTGCCCGGTTCTTGCTCTCCAGCCGATGACCCTGAGCAGCTGCCAAATAGGCAGCCATAGGTTTTTGAGCCCGATAGCCTCCTTCCCGATTGCGTCCAAGAAGAAGAGAAATGTTAGGATTGCGGGTGGCATAGATGAGGGGGTTAATGGCACCATTGGCCCAGGCCATCCAGCTTGCCACAGTGTCTATAGCTGGGGAAAAAGAGAAGCGTCCCGTTGCAGCAGCCAAGCCTAATATACAATAAGGGCCCCAGCAGCAGATGATGGAGATGATCATAATCAGAACGGTGGTGGCTGTGCGCATCTCACCATAGAAACGCAGGAGGTGCCCATAAGTGGTGAGGGGTCGCACCCTGCTCTCGGTCAGCCGCACTGCCCGGCAGATGTTATAGTGGCAGAAGCACATGAGGGCGAAGGGCAGCAGGTAGCAGAGGACAATCAAGGTTGCACTATAAGGGGGACCCAAATGGGAAGAGCCCCAAGGCAACACATACATGCAATGGTAGGAGGCAGGGGCGCCTGGCCCGACAGGCTGCTCCTCCTCTTCCTCCTCCTCCTGGGCCAGCAGGTACCAAGGCCCTGAGAAGCCCAGGGCGGCCAACCACACAGCAACCAGGAGCTGCGTGGCTCTCCGGCGGCCCATTTTATGCAGCGGCTGGCGGACAATGGCACAGTAGCGGTCAAAGGAGAGCAGGGCCATGGTCAGGGTGGCAGCGATGCCCAGGCCGGCGTGGAGGGTGGCGCTGACCAAGCAGAGGCGGCGCCCAAAGAGCCAGGCCCCGTTTGGGCGCCCATTGAGAAGGCTGGCGAAGGCCAAGGGCAGGCACAGAAGGGTGTCCAGCAGTTCGGCCAGCGACAGCGACAGCACGAAGGCGTTGGTGACTGTCCGGAGCTGCCGGTGCCGGGCGATGATGACCACCACGGCGCCGTTGCCCAGCGTAGAAAGCGCGAAGATGGCGAGCAGCAACAGGCCCTGCGAGACCAGCGCCGCCGCCGTCCAGCCCCACCGCGCCTCCTCCGCAAGGTCCGAGGGCGCCTTCCCCGGCTCGCTCCCCCCGCTTCCATTGCCAGGCGCGGCAGAAACGTTGCTCAGCGAGGCCACCTCCTCCATGGGCAGCTGGCGCAGGAAGGCGCATTCCCAGCCCGAGCAAGGCGAGCCCCTTCCCGAAAGGACCAAGGGCGATGGTGGGAAGCAGCGGCCACCTCAGGCGCCCGGGATGAGCGGCGTGTTGGGTTTCGGCGCGGCTTCCGCGGCTAGGTGGCTCCGGCCTCGCTGAGCCCTGGAAGGCTGGCCTCCCGTCGCGTTTTGGGGACGGAGAAGCCGGCTGTCCGGGGAAGGGGCGGCTCCGAGAACGGCGGCGCAGCTGCTGGGAAAAGCGCCCCGCTTCCTCACGGGCCTCGCTTCGGCCCTGCGCACGTCTCGCGGCAACCTGGAAGGCAAGCGGAACTATACGGGGATGCTTTGGATCGCTGCCTGCTTTTCCTTCAGCCGGGCAGGCTGCTTTTGCGGGGAGGCGAAGGAGGGTAAGGATGGAACCGGCGGGCGGCAACGTTAGGGATGCTTAGCTTTCGCTGGTTCCTTTGCCGAGCTGCTCAGCCAGCCCGGACTCGGCGGCCGCGATACGGAAACTAGCCGTGTGGAGCGCTGAATTTGCTAGCTGCTCTTCGGTTCAGGGCCGCTGACGTGTCTGCAGACGGTTGCCCGGGGAAACCATGTTATTCCCATCCGACGGCTGCTCCGGGGAGAAAGCACCGCCGCAGTTCCCCCCCCACCCCCACCCCCACTTTGCACCTTTCCCACTTCATCCTGAGGTCTGAGCGACCTGGCAGGGCTGCAAGTGGCCCCTTCAAATGTTTTACCATCCACCAGTCAAACAGTCATCTCTGCTGGCTCCAACAGCTAACAAAACTATGGCAAAATTACTTATTCCCACCACATTACCTCAGTTGTTTCTCAGAACATGAAAGAGGATCTTTTGGAACAGAAATACCAACCCCCTTTTTGTTGGAGTGACTGAACAAATGCAGAGAAAACAGGATTTCAGTCTTCTTAACTTTGCAGGACCTGAAACTGCTGGTCTCTGCATTAAGTTTCTCAGTGACCATTTTAAAAAATCGTTGGAAAAAAACAGAATCACATCTAAAATTCTTCTTGGTTGGGTTTCCTCATCCACTACATTGTAGCATCGGAGTGGGCCTACCATCCTTGCCTAATCTGATACTCTCTGGTTTAGGGAGAGAGATTCTGGCTCTCCAGATGAATTACAGCTTCCCAGCAACTCAGCCAGGATGGCCAGCACTGAGAGGTGTTGGAAATAGATGTTCAGCACATTTGGGATAAGGCAGGTTCCCTACTTCTGTTGCAATGCATAGCAGAGCTCTATCAAGAGTTGGTAGATTTTTAAGGTATAAGTGGGTGGGTTAACAGCATTATGTACATAAAATGTAACAAAAACTATCTTTTTATTTGCATTTCATTTAATAAATCCATGTGCTGGCCATCAATCTTTACAGTATACTCAATTAATTTTAAGAAGGTGATTATTTTGCCTATTTAATGTGGAATGTGGTACAACTATGTAAGAAAAGGTCAAAATCAGAATAAAAAACTTGTTTCATAAACAACATGGGGGGAACAAACTTTAATTTTGCAGTTACTCAGCACTGAATCAGTGAAATTAATAAGTTATATTCCTAGTAAAGGCCTTTAAGACTCTTTCATTTTTCTAAAAATATAACCTTTTGGAATTGATATCCATGCTGTATTCAAATAGGTATCCTTCCCCCCACATACACAAAGTCTAGCAAGAAAATTCCCACATTTCAATTGACAACAAAAAAAGGTTATTCTCTGAAATCTTTGATTAACTTCTTTGAAAGCTGTTTTTAAATACCTAACTACTAATGCAATTCTAGCTAATTGTTACTTACAGCATTTTGTTATCACAAGTTTATTAATAATCATCATAAAGTATTCTAATTTCCTACTGCATTTGTCCCCTACAAGGCTTTTCTGATGCCAAGAAAAAATATTTATGACTTACTACCCTGCCATCATGTTCCTATTGGCCAACCAAAGATTTTATAATAGATGTGAAAATGCTTAACTTTGGCTACACTATGTCCTTTATCATTATTTATATCAATTATCAATAATGAAGGTCAATACCATAATCAAAACTAAACAAAGATGCATCTTTTTCATCAGAGTTATTAAGGAAGCAATTACTTGAGAAAGAAACCATATTTCAATGGATCATTTTCTTCAAGAGTGAAAGTTGATGTTCCGGTATAAAAAGATTCTCCTGAGACTTCTACTATAACAGCATTGTGTTCACCACATTTTGTTTCCTGGATTGGAAAAACAAATGTTTCAGGTTAAAAAAATAAGCCTGCTCATTAATTCAGTAATTCAGTCTATAAGATTTTGCAAATATGTGAGAAGACCTTCTGGTATATACCCAGAATGAAATATTAAGTGATCATTTAAAATATCTTCTCAACACTGGACAATCCCCAATATTTTGCAACCAGAAAGAAGGTAAACTCATGCCATAATATTTTTTTCCTTTACTTCCTATTGCTTCCTATTCTCTGAATGTTAAAAATTGCATTAGGTTGCAGTGGGAAAAAATCCAAGTTGGGATTCTTGCATTGCTCCTACAAAACTGTTCCTCTTAATACTAGATTATACTAGAACTTCTTCCTCCTGCTGCAACCCATGGCACATTTTTCAGAATGCTTTCCTTCATCTTCAGGAAAGGCTGCCCAGAAAGGATGTGGGCTTCAGAGAAAGACAAAGTTCTGTTTTGCAAGGGGCTTTCTCCTCCCACAACTCTGAGGGAGAATCAACTCAATTTAATCCAACTGAGGAAGATTTTGAGTCCACTTTAAAGGTATCCAAGGAAAAGCAACCCTTTCAGTCAGCTAATTCCATATTTTCCAAAAAATAACCTATACAAACTCCTCCTCCCTACCCCACCCCAATCCCCCAAAACAAAAGTTTGGTATTTGCCTTTATTGCTTTTCCAGTGAACAAGGAACTAGTTGAACTGCTTCTGAAGGTCCTGGTCTGGTTCAGCTGAATTAATCCTTTATGGTGTTGTAAGGCAATGCGAGCAGTCACACCTGATCCTGTAGGACTTCGATCAACCTATTTTAGAAATATATTACCTGCTGTATTTTTGTTCATTTTGTCCATTATGCAAATCAACAATTATATTAGTATCTATGCCTACTCACTTTCCTCTTTACAGGTATTCACATCTATACTGTCACTTTCCCTTTCAAGTTCATCATTCAAATTAAAATATGCTGGGAGTAATTATGTTTGGGGGCTAAAACATCCTAGAATAAGCTTACTGAGCAAGAATAGAGTAACAGGCAAATCTCCTATAAATAAACAGAGCAAACCTCACTCCCTCTAGTACTGAAGTTGTTATCTAGGTGGGTAATGAAATGTCTGCACAATAACAAATCAGGATCAGAGAACACCAACAACCCCGCCCTAAAATATAGTTTTATCATGCTCAAAGCCCTTAGCCATCCAGATAATCCTGTCCAGCCTCTGCCTCATTTAACATGAGCAGGAAAACCAGCCAGAAGTAGGGAACAGGTACTACAGCTGCTTTGTTAGGCTAAAGAGAGGGTGCCTATACACATAAGCTAAACAGGCTATATACCTACCTCTGTCTCAAGGGACCATTGCAAGTCCCTTCCGCCCTTCTGCAACTTTTTCCAACCATATTCTGCTGTTTAGCACTGAATCTCCCCACTACATTCCCTCCACTGCTTTTTTAATTTATCAGGTGGCAGTTACAGGTGATTGGGAATCCCAGCACAGTATTAGCACTGTCTCTTTCTTGGCCTTTCTTTTAAGACCTACCTGAAATTGAGTACATTTTCAGGAATTGTATTTTCTTGCAAAAGATTTTTTTTCTTCCCAGGATTTTCCCACAAGTCTTCTTTTTTTTTCAGATCAATCAAATATTGATCCATTGTTTGCACACACACACACACAAAAAAACCACATTGACCAACTGACTTGTTGTCTTAGCCTAATACCTTGAGGTGAGGGAGTACCTGGCCCAATGTCACTTAGTCTTCTGGTGTCTAGCCTGATGCCTTAACCACTAGACCAGTGGTGAAATGTAAACTTTGTTGCTACCGGTTCTGTGGGCATGGCTTGGTGGGGGGTAATGTGACTGGGTGGGCGTGCCCCCCCCCAATTTTTTTTTACTTTTTTTAAAGCATTTTTTTACTACTGGTTTGGGCAAATAAGTAGTAAAAAAATGCTTTAAAAAAGTAAAAAAAAAAGGTTCCAATAATCACAGCTGTGCTGTGCGATCGTCGGAACCGGTTTTTTTACTTTTTAAAAACATTTTTACTACCTATTCACCGGAACCGGTAGTAAAAAAATGCTTTAAAAAAGTAAAAACAAGGTTCCGACGATTGTGCAGCAAAGCTAATTGACAATCAGCTGTGCTGCGCGATCGTCGGAACCTTTTTTTTAATCTTTGTAATGCATTTTTTTACAACCGGTTCGCCCGAACTGGTAGTTTTTATCACTACTGGTTCACTTGAACCGGAGCAAACCAGTAGCATTTCACCCCTGCGCTAGATCAAACAGGCTCTGGAAATACTTGACTAATTAAAACCAAATTTTCCATTCTTCTTTAAAGACATTGCCAATACCAGTTTTATTTTTTGGCAGAATAGAAAACTCAGGCATAGAATTCTTGGGAGATAAATTCTTATGATTAGGTTCAACCACATTGCTATTCAACATTAATCAAATCACATACTGTATTGAATTTTTAATGTATAAAAGCAGACATTCAGGTCTGGCTCCCCTGCCTTTCACATTGCAGATTCTACATATTCTCCATCTCTAGCAAGAGTCATGGTGGGTACTTATATTTTTTCCCTGCTATTTCAGGACTCCAGGACAGAGATTCAATTGAGGGCTATTCAACTAAGGCAGTGAAGGATAACCTTTTCCGGACCAAGTGCCCAAAGCGCATGCATGCACACACCTGAACCCCCAAAATGCAATGCATGTGCAACCCCATGCACATGCCCCACCCCGTGCATGTGTGTGCAGCTCCCCGCACACATGCAGCCCCTGCACGTGTGCGGCAGAGACCAAAGACCAGCTGGCCCGCGAGAGGGACACGCGTATGCACAGCAGAGCTAAACTGAGGTGACGGCTCGTGGGCCCACAGAGAGGGCACTACGTGCCACCTCTGGCATGCGTGCCATAGGTTCACAATCACGGAACTAAGGGCTACTTTTTTATGATAACAGCTCAGGATCTTTCCTCATACATGCTTTATTACCTGTGCATCTGCAAATACACATATATTACTTGTAGGTTCATCACTAAATTCATCTTTTCCATCTGTCAGTATAGTTCCATAAATGAAAGCCATCTCTTCAATAAGAGGATGGTGAACTTTGAACTAGAAGAAGAAACAAAATATTTTAGAGACATTTATTAAAATGAAACCAGAGAAATGATCTAACTGCTCCATTAGACTTGTACATAGTATCAATGTCCCTACTCAGGCAGCGATTTGAGTACTTCATTGTAATTTCTTACATGGAAAAACTAGTTGAAAATATTGTGAGCCAGGTTTTACATTGATATTAAAAAAAGAAATCAGATATCAGAAGATTAATATAGCAACCATCTAGTCAGAAGATTGGAAGAGGAATTATAACTGAATATACCATAGTTCAGCTTTTGTTGGAGCACTTTAAAATTTTGATCTATTCCTCTATATAAGAAGAGTTCTGAAAGATTAAAGCCATCAAGTCAAGCACTAGTCGTGGATGACTGATAATAGGTTTAAAAAATTCAAAGAGCTGTAGCTGCTGCGCCAATAGCAATCTTCTAACATTCCCCAAGAGTTAGTAGTTTTAAATAAGCTTATGGTTCAGGTATCTAACAACTAATTCCTCAATTTACACTTATTCCTATTTCCAGCCCTGCATTCATTCAGAATGGCTAAAGTACTGGAATCTGTTTCTAAAGCAAGGTTATTTGATATATTATTATTATTATTCTGGGGAAAAATATTTCTGATCTGCTGCCAGTATTTTGAAAAGGTTAATTACATTTTTCTTTCATTTCAAATAATAACTCACTGATCTGCAAAATGATGCATTTAGCTAGTGAATACAATTCAAAGCCATGTTAAATGTACCTGAGCCTTTACAGCTTCTGTTACTGCGGATGCTGCATCTACAAGATCCCTAATTTTTGAGGAACATACATCAAGGCCTAATTGTTCAGCACTAAGAAATGCATAGAAAGCACCCCCATAGCCAACATCAAGGACGACTTTTCCATAGCCAGGAACATCAATAGTTATATCTGATAATCAAGTAAAAAAAAGGAGGGAAGGGAAGAGACGAGATAAAAGTTACATAAATATAATGAGTATTTATTATTTTTATATTTATTTTGTTCAATAATTTATTCTTAAGGCGGCAGCCCCCCCCCCCCAAAAAAAAAAAGGAATGTTAAAATCTGTAATCCAGATTCCCATCTATCCTTACAACTAATATCTGAAGATTCCCCAAATATAGTGGTACTTCTTTCTTGTGTCTTTGTCATCTTTTTCCGGTTTCAATCTTATTAGTGCCTTATTCAACCTTATTTATAGAGGAAATTACATTGGTGACAGGATATTATGTACTACTTCTAATTTATTACTGAGGTACAAGAAAGACATTTCATGTTCAGAAGAACTTCAAGAGCAGAAAGTAAATAAAAATTACTGTGGTGATTATAGGAACTCTAATCAAACGACATAACTATAATCACAATGACACAACATATATGGGAGTAACTATGAGTGATCTGATTAATACAGGGATCTACATGCATTTAAAAATACAAAACGTACAAGCTCACTAAGGTAATCATGAGAAGCAGTGTAGTACAGAGAAGCATTCCTTCCATGAATCAAAGTTAAAGCCTAAGGAATAGCAGAAAAGAGATTAATTACAGAAGATTTACATTATCAATCACAAAAAACATGCAGGTCAGAAAGCAAGTTTTCAATTTTCCAATTGAGCTACACCACTTTATATCAGTTAAAATTTATATGTGTGACCAAATAATGATTGGATTGGTATATTATTAAGGATGCCAACATTTTAAATAAGATGCCTTACTCTACTCTCAGTATTTACCTTTTATGATCATTTAGGGGGGAAAAACACAAGCTATGTATAAGAATAACTTATAGAGGCATTTATACCTGCTTCTTAAACCATTTTCTCTCAGGACATTTATAAATAACGGAGGACCCCAAAAGGTTTTTGTTAGTATGGGTTACATTTATTGATATTTATCTTTTAAAAAAATTAAAGCTGACACATATGATGCTATCATTTCTCTTGACCATTTGATGAGATGTTTGATATTGTATATTTTTCAACAAATGATAGCAAACAATTTTAAATCACAGATCCCTGAGAGGATCTTGGGAGACCTAGGACCACACTTTAAGAAACACTTTAAGAAACACTGAATAGAAACCAAGAAACTGAATTTAATAAATTAGTTCAGTTCTAGTAATGGCAATATATACAGTTAGTAAATTGGGAAAGATTACTAAGGTTTGGAACAATCCAGTTCTTTCTCTGGCCATTTTAAACACTACAGATTTTAAACACCACTTTCTTTCCATTTGAATTTAATGTCTGCTTTCTTCATAAAAAGGAAAAACAGTAGATTTCTATTTGCTGACTTGACCAATATAGCAAACCAAAACTCAAACCCTGGTCATTTCCCAGATAAAATATTTTAACACATTCTAGATGGAGCTAACCTTGAAAAGCATCCCAGATCTGCAGTTGTACAAAATGTGATGATGCAGGATTATGTGCACTCTACGACCAGTATACATTACACCTCGGTTTTGCAAACTGCATTAGTTGCCAATTTGCTTCTGGTTGCAAAGTGCTTTTTATTACCTCTAAAGCCTGTTACATCTATCTGTCCCATCAGATCTGACAGAAGGGGCATGTTGCAGACCACATCTTCCATTCAACAGAATCCAGGAGAGCCTTTTCTGTTGTCCTGTCTTCTGGAACTGTATCCCCCACAAGGTTACATTGGCTGCACCCTTGTTGATCTTTGGAAGCCCCTGAAGACATGGCTGTCATCAGGTCTAGGGGTCCCAGGGACATGGGGATACTGCAAGATGGTTGCATTGTATTGCCTACAAACTATAAGTGGACACTTTCCTAGCTTTTTATATTTTAATTTATACAAGTGTATCATCCCACACCCAAGCTACAGGTATTTGCCACTATTGCAAGTGTATCCTTGGTGTTGTTAACTTGTGAGCTGCCTAGAGTCACATGAAACGGGCAACTATATAATCTTAAATACATCACGCCCTTAAGATTTATATTGACTATTTCCCTATGACTATCATTAAGTGTTGTACCTTATGATTCTTGACGAATGCATATTTTCTTTTATGTACACCGAGAGCGTATGCACCAAGACAAATTCCTTGTGTGTCCAATCATACTTGGCCAATAAAGAATTCTATTCTATTCTATTCTTAAAATGTCAATTAAGGGTAAAAATTTCCTGATTTTTCTTTGAAAACGTTTCGCTTCTTATTCAACAATCTGCTTCAGAGCTGAAGAAGCTTCTTGGATGAGAAGCAAAACGTCTTCAAAGAAAAACCAAAAAGTCCAGCTGCCTCTTGAAAAAGCACCTTTGGGACAACCATGGCCTGGATGAATGAGAATCTCCATAGACCTTTAAGGGTTAAAAAGTTAAGTCAACATCGCTCAGGCATAGAATAGAACAGAATAGAACCTGCCTTCCATTGAGGACCTGTATACTGCACGAGTCAAAAAGGGCTGTGAAAATATTTACAGACCCCTCACATCCTGGACATAAACTATTTCAACTCCTACCCTCAAAACGACACTATAACAGCACTGCACACCAGAACAACTAGACACAAGAACAGTTTTTTCCTGAACGCATCACTCTGCTAAACAAATAATTCTCTCAACACTGTCAAACTATTTACTAAGTCTGCATTACTATTAATCTTCTCATCGTTCCCACCACCACCCATCTCCTTCCACTTATGACTGTAATTTTGTTGCTTGTATCCTTACAATTTATATTGATATTGTTTTCTGATTGCTTATTTGTACCCTATGACTATCATTAAGTGTTGTACCTTATGATTCTTGATGAATGTATCTTTTCTTTTATGTACACTGAGAGCATATGCACCAAGACAAATTCCTTATGTGTCCAATCACACTTGGCCAATAAAAACTTCTATTCTATTCTATTCTATTCTATTCTATTCTATTCTATTCTATTCTATTCTATTCTATTCTAATTCTCAGGCATCTTCCACACCCGTGGACTCCAACTCCCAAGAATTCCCGAGCCAACTGGGCTATTGGCAAGAATGCTGGGAGCTGAAGTCCATCTACTTCTGGAAGTTGCCTTAAAGCAGGTCTTCAAACTTGGCAGCTTTAAGACTTGTGGACTTCAATTCCCAGAATTCTCCAGCCAGCTTTGCAAAACTGGCTGGAGAATTCTGGGACTTGAAGTCCACAAGTCTTAAAGCTGCCAAGTTTGAAGACGTCTGCCTTAAGGGGAGACGGTCCAAGAGCGGGTCAGAGGAGCGCCGCCGTATCCCTACCGGTAGCCGCGGCGAAGGCAGGCACGCTGTGGAAACGAACGCGGCTTCCACTGCGCTGCCCGTCCCAGGACGCAAAAGCCGTGACGGGCCCGCAGGGGCAGTGAATGGTGACGGCGGTCTCGCCGGGGGAAGGCGGGGGCTGGCAGAGGCCGTAGTCGAGGGCGAAGCGGCCCAGGCAAAGGACGGCGTGGCCGCACATGGAGCTCGCGCCTTCGTTGTGCATGAAAAGGGCTCCGAGGGCGGCTCCGGGCAGCTCGCTGGGCACCACCAGGGCGCCGTACATGTCGCGGTGTCCGCGGGGTTCGTGCATCAACAGCCGCCTGACAGCGTCCAGCTCCGAGGAGTCCAGCAAGCGGCGACGCCGACTCAGGAGAGACAGCTCAGGCCCGGGCTCCAGCAGTCCCAGCCCGCCCGGCACCACCACCCGGAGCGGCTCCCCTCCTGCGTGCATCTCCACCGTACGGATGGCCGGGCTGCCTGGCGCGCGCGGGGGCAGCCAATCACCGCGATCGCCCGCGGACATTTTGAACGGTTTTACTGAACGGTCCAGACCAGCGCCGCTCCTCTCCCTCAGGCCCGCCCACTAAATGCGTCACGAATGGGGCGGGCGTCGTCGGAATGAGAATGTTAATTTTCAATCAGAATAGAGCTGGAAGGGACCTTGGTGGTCTTCTAGTCCAGCCCTGCGCTCAAGCAGGAGAGACTATTATTATTTCAGGCAGGCGACTGTTCAAAGAAAGGCAAAGCCTCGTCTGCGCAGTTGTATCGTTGGGGAATTCTGAGAGTTGATTTCCACGGATCTTAAAAAGTTGTTAAGGTTTAGAAACAACATATCAAAAAACGAGAGATCCAAGATTATAAATCTCCCTTTCCAAATACCAAAAACTACTATAATCATTTTTGCTCAACCCTATAGCCTCTGTCAGGCCATAGTTCTTTATATCCTAATGTTAGCTGTTTATTATAATCCTAATGTTAGCTGTATACCGTAATTTAAAAATACATTCACATTTTCTTTAGAATTGCATTGGTCTTAATCACCCAGGTTTATGGATATTGCACCAAAGCAGGACAATGGAGAAGAAGTCCATATTTTAAGGCAGGTGTACAGTTGCAGCTTGACCTGTTGCCAGAATTGTCACTCTGCTTCCTGGCACAGGAGCAGATAACATCCTTCTCTTTGGACTTCAACCCATTGCAAATGCACTTTGGACATATATTTTCCATACCCATCAGAATGGATGGTCTCTATCATTTTCTTTCATTCTAGCAGCAGTCCCAACTCTTATTTGCTGCAGCGCTCAGGAAACTCCAAAAGGTTCCTGTCTCAGCCAGACCCTTTCTGCTATTTCTGCTGGTTGGGAGTTGGTATTTTATTTTTATAATCTTGTAGTTGATCTAACAAGTTAATGAACTATTATCAACTGTAGAGATTTGTGATGCATTCATTTCCTACATCTCCCATTGGGCACTCATTTGGCTGGGTAAAGACTTATTCCTTAATCCTGTGGATAATATCATATTGTTGAAATTGATTCAGATAGTTCCCAGTATTTTCGTTTTATACATTATTGTGTGTCAAGCCAATAAGGGGAATTAGGTTCCTGTTTAGCAATCATAAACATGTTATGTCATTCTGCATGTAATGTAGGTCATCTTGCATATTGCATGCTAAAAAATTTATAATTGGCCTAAAAATATTCTTTTCATGGAGCATAAACCATAAAAAGCCAGTGCATCTAAGTGTCCCAAAAGAGCAGTGCACTTTCAGAATGTTCATTTATGTTTAAAAATCCTTCTAATTCTTGTTGCATGTTTAATAAAAAAGGTTCTTTATTAAATCACATTATAACACAAGACCTGACTGATATGACAAGATATGGCAACAAAACAACATCTTTCTGATATCCATCCATAATTCCTAGCTGCTGGCATAGATTGTTGGAGAACATAAATTAGTTAGATAGATTATACTTGAACTAAATAGACATTACTAAATAGATAGCCTAGATAACCTAGACTACACTAGACTAAACTAAACTAGATAAAACTAGACTAATTTAAAAACTTTCAAATATTCTAACTTTACGAAACTAAATTTTACAGATCTAGACTAGAGAAAATTGGCTGATGTTGATTTTCCAACTATTTCATATATTTAAGGGAATGCGTCTTCATTATTTCTAGCTCTACGGGCAAAAAGAGTTCTGCGTCTTGGCTCGGGCATTTCCGTCCTATAGGGTTAAATTCCCCCCAACGCAGGAAGTGAGCATCATCACATGACCTGGGAGGCGGAACACAAATAACAGTTGTGGGTTTGGCTTCTCCGCCTACTTAAGGGCAAGCAGATAATCGAATCAGCAAGAGGTTGCTGCATCTGAGTCGGCAGCTGATTGGCTGGATTTTTGAGTGCTGTCAAAATCCCGAGTCTTTGTTGTACTTCCGTCGTGGCCGTACTGCAGCAAGATGGGTGAGTTTGACGGTCTCGCTATGTATGGTTTTGGCAGTATTAATGTCGCCTGTAGTCCCACAGGCCAGGCCGACTAGTTTATTAAGAACAATAGCAGCGGGTTTGTGTGTAGTTTATACGCGTGGCTTGAACGCCACTCACGTCCTCAGTTGAAAGAGGACAATCCTCCCAATATCCCCGGAGAAGATCGCCTTACAGAAAAGCATCGATTGTTTCACCACCGAACGAAAAGTGGTGCTTTGCGTAATTTTCTGATACTGCTCCTTCTCTCTCCTTAAATGTTGTCATTATATCCGTAGATTTTTTTTCTCTTTCTGATCTTCATAATTAGAATGGGATTCTGTTACCGGGTGCTGTGTACACCTGGACATTGTGTGACTTAAGGGCAAGGTAAACATCAAGCCAGTAAGATAAGAAAATGCATAGATGCCATCATGGCACTCCCTTTGTGCAACATCAAGCAAAATCTAGACAAAGGGTAAGAAATAAGCTTTAAAAGGGTTTTAAAGTAGGAATTAAAGAAAAGTAATATATTTTCTATTATTTCAAAGTCTATCTATCCCAAACCATCCATGTTTCCACCACACCCAGCATTGCTTCGTACATTCCTTTTTGTTCTTTAAACAACTTCATATACTACCCAGTACTTTTCTGCAAGAATTTGCATGTCTTAAAAAATCTCTATTCATTTTTTAATCTTTGATAAAATTTCACCATGATAAGAAATACATCTGCGTTTCTAGTTTTTTTGCCATTCATTTACATGTATAATGTGCAGTTGTTCACTATCTTGTCTTTGAAATATTAATTTTCAAATCCATATATCTCATTGCACTAGCTCCCAATAGATTTCTGGCTGCAATTCAAGGTGCTGATTGTCACCCTTCATGAGGCCAAGTTACATGTGACAGTCTTTCTCAGATGGTTTCTGCCTATCCCACCAGATAGAGCAGAATGGTCATATTCCTGGTCCTATCAGTGAAGCTATGTCATTCGATAGGCAATAGGAACGTTGCCTTCTTTGTTGTTTTTTGTCTCAACCAACTAAATATTTTAACCTATAGCCTATGCTTTCCCTAGTTTACTAAAATCATTACTGTATATGAAAGCCTTGCAATGATCAGTACTATGATGGCTGATAGAGTGCAATTTCTATGGAGCTATCAAGTAATGATTATGGGATGTTGAAAATTGCATAAAACCAGGTGAGATTTTATGCATAAAAGTGTCATAGAAAGAATTATTCACTCTTTTTTGGTGCAAGTTGTAGAAATTCAGCCAGACTGCCTTGGACTTTATTGTGGAAGAACACTGGAAATTATAAATGGAACTGAAATTCATGGCGATTGTGGGGTAAGTTGTACTTTTGGCAATTTTTCTAAATATTTAAAACAAGGGTATGTTGTTATTGGACATGACTAAGTAAAAGGTTGGGCTGAATGTTTGCATGAATTGTTTTTATGCAGATAATCAAACAGATAAGAAAACTAGATAAAACATTTTTAATAAATTAAGTAAAGGCTATATAAAATAGTTTGTGATAAAATTTTACAGGTATGTCCCAGAGGACAAAGAAGTGATGCCCATAAAATCTGCCGTGAATGTACGGGCTCTCCAGAACGCTATGATTGGCTTTATCTTGGCTTTATGGCAATGCTACCTCTCATTCTGCATTGGTTCTTCATTGAATGGTATTCAGGGAAAAAGAGGTAAATATGTATTAAAACAAAATAAGTTTTAGCTTATAATATTTAACTTTAAAATACACTAACTTCTCAATGAATATGTAAAAAATCTGTACCATTTGTCCTCATGGATTTTAGCCTCTAATTCTTGTTCATTTTAATCATTTTTATATTTATACTTTTATTATAATGTAAACTGCTCAGAGTCTATTAGACAGTGAGATTGGTGTATAAATTAAACAATTAATAAATATAACCCACCACCTTGTGCAATTCAATACTATAATAAAAATATAAAGACATTTTTAGTTCAGCTCTCTTGCTGTAAAAATAGTTGCCGTTTTCTTGGCAACAGTGCAGTGGTAATTTGCACAAGTACTTCTGCAACAGTGCAGAAATAATATGTATTGGTTTTTTCTAGGCTTTTTTCAACTTTTCACTCTAGCCTACTATCCTGAGATTCCATAAATTTCTCATACAAATTCTAGCCTGGCCTAATTCAGCTTAGTTTCCAAGCCCAGACCAGGTGTCCCTTGTGCTGCCACCTGCTGGTACTATTATTTTAATGTATGAACTAGATTTATAACTGGTCGCTTAGTGACCATTCAAAGTTACAGTGGACCTCCCTGACTCAGTTATGAAGATTTGATGGCTGCCCTCCCCCACCTGTTGGTGCTCAGCAACAAGCCCACATTTACAGCCGTTTGCAATGCCCCATGGTCACGTGATCATGTTTTATGATAGTTTTGCTGAAAAGAAGGGTTTATTTTCAGTTTTCAGCAAACTTGGCCCCATAAGGAACCATTGGTTTGCTTAATGACCTCAGTGTTTGCTTAACTGCTGCAGAAAAAGTTTGTAAAATAGGTTTGGTCATATGGGTGATTTACCACTGTTATTAATTACAGCTGTGACCTTTTTTTTATACGCATGTATTTATATGATGCAAGGTCACATTTACTTATTTAAAAAAATGATATAGCCACCAATCTTCTCTCAAACTCTGGGCATTTTTGATTTTTGAAAATATTGAGATTTGTCAAAAGTTAACTCAATCTCCAAAGTTCTCTACAATAAAACAAATAAATCTGGAAAGCCAAGGCACCTCCTTCATATGGAGAAAAAAGCTCTCAAGATCCTGCCTGCTACTTATGAGAAAGATCTCATCTTGAAGGTTTTGCAACCCTCCCTAAGAATGATAAGAGAATTAATGTTTTATGGCACTCAGCTGTTTTGTTTTCAGTACTTATTTTATCTTTTGTCAACAGTTCCAGTGCTCTTTTCCAGCACATCACTGCTTTAATTGAATGTAGTGTGGCAGCAATTGTTACCCTGCTTGTAAGTGACCCCATGGGCTCCCTGTACCTCCACTCATGCAGAGTGATGATGCTTTCTGACTGGTATACCATGCTTTATAATCCAAGTCCTGATTATGTTACCACCATTCACTGTACCCACGAAGCTGTCTATCCTCTGTGAGTATATACTTCTAACTCTGTACTGATCTAATACTTAGAACAAAAGGCAAGACAGTTTCATTGTTAAGTCATATAATTCAATTTTAATGGTCTGTATCAGACGCAAAATTTTTTAGGTTAAATGTGGTTTATTTCTAAGTAAAATAAATGGACTATTGTAACGCTCTCTACATGAGGCTCCCCTTGAGTTGCACTCGGAGGCTCCAAATGGCGCAGAGTGTGGCCGCGCGGGTGGTTATGGGAGCGACATGGAGTTCCCATGTAACACCTCTCCTGCGCGAGCTGCACTGGCTCTCGGTGGTCTTCTGAGTGCGCTTCAAGGGTTTGGTTATCACCTTTAAAGCGCTCCATGGCTTACGACCTGGTTATCTACGGGACCGCCTGCTATCACCAATAGCCTCCCACTGGCCAGTACGCTCCCATAGAGAGGGGCTCCTCTGGGTGCCGTCGGTCAAACAATGTCGATTGGCGGCCCCTAGGGGGAGAGCCTTCTCTGTGGAGGCACCTACGATCTGGAACGACCTCCCCCCGGAGATATGGAGGATCCCGGATCTGCGCACCTTCCGTCATGCACTTAAGACTTTTTTATTTCATCAAGCTGGCCTGGCCTAAATCTTCTCCCCTTTTTAAATGTAAATTTTAATTTGTTTTTAAATTATGGGGTATTTTAAATTAGTCTCAGCCAATTATTTAATTCGTTTTTATTCTATTTTAAATTTTTGTATTTATGTGTTTTATTTTGTGGCTCTTCACCGCCCTGAGTCCTTCGGGAGTAGGGCGTTATAGAAATTCAATAAAATAAATAAATAAATAAAAACGGCATTGGTTTGTAAGTTTAATTATCGTCACTACTATAGTTGATTTGCAGTGTAATAGTTGATGGCCAGAGGAACAAACGTTAAGACTGTTTTGTTTTTTAAAAAACTTTAGTTATGAGCAATATACTATGTAACTTTATTGCAGTACTTTTGTTTAACAAATTTGCTGCCATTCCTCATCTGTTTGATCTTGGCAGTTAGGGAAAATGAGAATAGGATTAAAAAACAAATTCATTGGACTACAATAGATATCCTTTTCCCATGGGATATCATTACAAGGGGACAAGAAGTAACCATATCAAGAACTCTGATCTGTCTATAGGCACAAGCCTGGCTCTAGTATGAAAGCAGAATATTGATATAATGCTATAGGAAAGACCTAGAAAGCTGCTGAAAGGAAAGAGGTAGTGAGCTTTTAGGATAGGCAGTTTGTCTTATTTCCACAATTTGAATCAAAATTGTCAGTGATTTTATTATCCAACTGCTAGTTCTAGGAATTTGAGGTCACAATGTGCTAATTTTGACAATCTTCTCTTTCAGCTACACCATTGTATTCATATACTACGCATTCTGTTTAGTGTTGATGATGATGCTTCGTCCTCTGCTGGTAAAGAAAATTGCTTGTGGGCTGGGAAAGTCAGATAGATTTAAGAGCATTTACGCAGCTCTTTACTTTTTCCCAATTCTGACTGTGCTTCAGGCTGTTGGAGGTGGCTTGCTCTGTAAGTTGTTTTCTATTCCCTCTTGGACGAAACACAAAGCCCAGCATGTTTAACTTCAAAATAAGCGCTTGGCCTTATTTTTGGGAAGGTCTTATTATTTTGGGGCGTGTGGAGCAAGATGGGGCTCTTCTTGCCGTCTTACCTGATTTCCAGCTCTGTCTCCCTAACCCTAACCAGAGGAAATGGCAGGGACCGGCTGTGGATGCGTTTTAATATTTTCAGGGAGGGCTTATTTTCAAGGGGGGGCTTATTTTAGCACATGTGCTCAAAAGCCTGATTGGGCTTATTATCCAGGGAGATCTTATTTTCGGGGAAACAGGATATAAACAAAATAGACTTCAGTTCCCGAATACTAGGCTACAGTGGTCTGGGTTTCCGCCACAAATTAAATCAAAACCAAACAAATCATGGAATGTTTACACGTTTACCATTATGTGTAAACCAGGTGATACTTATAAAACGTATAGTAAACATGAATGTAAATGTGTTACTGGTAGGTAGATTCTGAGCTTCACTGCATCCTAAAAACATGGAGAAAGTCTTTAAATACTGAGATTAGAATTTTTATTCTTAAATCAGAGGATAGGAATGCAATGCATCACGTGAGGACTATAACGGAATATAATGTCTGATATATTTTACTGGGGGCAGTTTCACTAAATCCAATGAAGATTTCCCCTTGAATATAGTATTTTGAAAACTAATTGCTTACCTATCTGTTCTGTTTAACCAAGATGATAAAAGTGTGTATAACATCTTCCTTTTTTACTTCCAGACTATGCTTTCCCATATATCATCATAGTGTTATCTCTTGTTACCCTGGTTGTCTATCTGTCAGCTTCTGAAGTAGAAGTAAGTAAACTACTGCAACTAGCAAAATTATTAACTGTCATTAGGCTGTAAGGTTCTGGGAGATGATTGGTTTAGTATCCTATAGGCACTATCTGAGAAAAAATGAATTATTGAATCTGCTGAAGCTATTGAACAGAAATTCTCTTTCTCTCCAGTAGTCAGGATTTTCATGAAGCTGCTGGATACCTTGCCCTGCCAGCACTGACTAGGAAAAAATCTGGAAACAGTTTAAAGAAACCTTTAAAATTTATTCAGTTTTCAAGAATGTGATCTCTCAGTCTGTTGTGCAGAGGAAGATTATGCACTCAAACAGAAACAATCTTCCATCCAAATTCCTAAATGAATAAAAAGTTTAAAACATTTTGCGGAGTTTTCTCCTTTAATGATTCTAATTGATCACTGAAGCTAATCAGTTATTGCTTTGGAAGTATTACTGAGACAATTTATTATCAGGATGGAAAAGTTATTCCTAGAGAATCCCTGAATCTCACATTCCAGTTGTACCTTTAAGTAGATTACTATAAAAATAGAAACTAATGGAAATATCTTGTTTTCTATTTTCAAGACTTTCAAAGATCTGCTTGTCAGGAAGAAAAGGCTTATCGTTCTGTTTAGCCATTGGCTGCTGCATGCCTACGGAATTATCTCCATTTCCAAACTGAGCAACATTTACCAGGACTTGCCTTTGCTGGCCTTGGTGCCTGCACCAGCTCTTTTTTATTTGCTAACTGCAAAGTACACCGAGCCATCCCGAATATTATCCGAGGGAGCAAATGGACGTTAATTGTAACTAATAACAGTCTGGGTAAGAAAGATATACAAGAGAGTCAGTCTTCTTGGTAAGATGTCCTTACTTTAGTTATTAGTTTGCTATGGATCAACTTTCAAGTAAAGCTTTTCTTTTTTTGAGAATCAAAACTGGACAACTCTGTACCAACTAGAAGGCAAATTTTCTAAACAGTGTGGATACCCAGTACATGTAATGCCTTAAGACTCTTATCAGCTGACGAAGTCCTTGATTTTAGCAGTTAAGTCTCTAGGCTTGTCCTGTATATCTGTTTTACATTTGTCTGTTATGTGTGAATAATTTGTACAGCATACTTGAAAATAGTGTTATTTATTGATTTCACAGCACAGTATTTTCTCACATGTTTGAATCTGTATTCATAGAAGAATAAAAGATTCAGTATTCTAACTTCAGTTTATAAGGACTTGTAGTCTGTTTTATCCTAGAGAAAAAAAATTGACAGAACATATTTTTACAAACACTTTTATCTGAACAAGCATTTATATGAAATAGAAATTATGTAGCAGCAATATTTGCTCTGCATTAAGAATGTTTGTGTGTTTCATTGAAAGAGCCAATGAAACATCTGTCACTCTTTTACAACAAACACCTTGACAAAATTTCCATTTAAAAAGGAACACCAGGATTCAGTTATGTACTGCAAATAAATGCCTCCCTTTTAGGTGATCTTTTAAAAAGATTTTCTTTCTCCAGGCTGGAGGTTAGATAGTTTATGCAGTTCCCCTTTTAGTAGTGAATAACCAGATATGCCAGTTATGTTTTATATTAAGTTGGTGTTGTTTTATGTGTAACAATAGATTTTTAATTTTGTGAAGCTGCTAAGAGTTCTGAATTTGGGCAGCCTATAAATTTGACAAATGAAAAAATAAAGCATCTGTTAAAAATTTGTCATGGGTTGTAGGCTCCTTCATCTGAGACTCAGTACATTCTTCTCACATTTAAATCCACAAGCAGATTTACTCATATATTTTTTTAAAAAAAACTATCAAGTATAATAAACAGGAAAGAAACTATTGTCTGCCACTACTGAAACAAACATGCTAAGATTGTTTTCAGCTACAGTAATGTTTTTTAAAAGATTAATAGGTCTTGGAAGTTTGTCCCAACACCCAAATAAAAAAATAGTGCTAGAAAACTAGCATCTGCTGTTCTAAACTTGACAGAGTAAGACCTTTTTTTTCTGATATTCTGTGACATATACAAGCTGTGAGGAATCTGTTTTGAAGAAGGTAATTTTTGCTTTTCCAACACATAATTTTAACAAACATTTGGCACTTCCCCAAAATACTTACTTTGTCACTCTGCCAAAGATTTGCTTTTTAGCAGAGAATCCATCTCTTCATAGTTTAGCTGTAGCCCTTCATGAACGTAGTCAACCTTACAATTTCTCTTTGCATTTCTTCTGACGTATTCTTCCAGAATAATCAAGACCTCATGCTGGTACTTGAAAAATATCTGCAATAAGATGAAAACAATGAGACAATAGATTTTCTGTTGCGGAAAGACAAGCTGGATTTTCTTCATTTTTTAAAAATATACTTCGACTCTTCTAAAATACTTAACATGAATTTTATGGGGGTTGGGGAAAGTACAGAAAGTAAATAGGTTTGATATAAAAATAGTGGGAAAAGTATAGCACAATGATTCCTTAAATTTAAAATGATATGAGATCCCAAGTGTTAGGATAGATAAAAGAGCCTTCTATTTAATTGGATTAATCAATTAAAACTGTTAAAAAGAGAAAGCAGCTCTCATAAATGGCTTGTTCTTAAACAATAGCTGTACTTTAAGTCTCAGCAAAGCCACACTGGGGAGAAAAAAACCATTATTTTTCTTGCTGTCATGATGAGCAACAGAATATGTAACAAGCTAGGTAAAGATAAAGGTTTTTCCTGTTCAGTCATGTCTGTCTCTAGGGGATAGTGCTCATGTTCGTTTCTTAGCCGAGGGAGCCAGCGTTGTCAGAAGGCACGTCTGCAGTCATGTGGACAGCATGACTGTATGTCAAGGTGCACAGAACGCTGTTACCTTCCCACCAAAGTGGTACCTATTTATCTACTTTCATTTGCATGCTTTCAAACTGTTAGGTGAGTAGGAGCTGGAGCAAGTAACAGGAGCTCACCCCATCCCCCGGAGCTCAAGTCTTGAACCCGAGCTGTCAGCTTTTCAGCTTTTCAGCTGAGTGTCTTTAACTGCTGACCCATCACGGGCTACCAAATTGGTAGAATTAAATTTTACTGTTTTTTTCTCCATTCAAATGGTATTCTAACCCTAGTTTATGCTAATTATCATCAACTAGTTGTTTATTTTTAATCGTGTGAAAGGTTGCCATTTGAAGGGAACTATGACTCTTATTTTTCTTTTTTAATATAATTATTTTGCATCCTTGAAGTTACCAAATCCATGAAGTACCACAGAAATGGGATTGTGCATTTTAATCTAACTGGGATTATATATCACATCCTCCTGGTTGACATCCATAAAGTCAGACATTAACCAATGTCTGACTTTATGGATGTTAACGATAAACTGTCCTCCATCCAAACCCCCACCGCCTCCAGGTAATATAATAATATACCTTTTGTAAATATTCATCCTTTGTCCATTTCTTGACAAATAGTTCTAAAACAAGAATTTTATAGTAAAAATAAACATAGATCACAATATATATTTTAAAAGAAGTAAAAAACATATTTAAATATGCAATAACATATTAAATGACATTTTAAACCACATTTATTAAACATATATGACACCCAGAATTTCTAAAAAAACAAATTATGCTACTTCTTAAATGATATCAGAGTCTGTAGGAAGACATCTACTTTTATTTTATTCATAAGATTAAAGTACAAAAGGAAAAAAAACTATTTAACAGAAACAAAAGAAAACTAAAAACATTAAAAATGTGAATTAAAAAGGAGAAAAAACAAAACATATATTATCCCCCCTAGTTGAACACTGACAAATCTAGGAGAACAATAATAGCTTTTCCCCTTGTAAAGCAGGTCCAAAATTTATAATGTATTTTACATGTATTTGCAATCCAATTGACCTGTCATACATTACATATATGAAAGAAAAAATAGTTAACTGGTTAAAACAACAGCAAAGTTAAAGTTCATGGCTCTGTTAATAGTCTGTTATTGTAATTTACTTGTAGAAAGTCTACAATGGTTTCTTATTTACCACAAATTGATTGATCCAGGATCAAATACTCTAGTTTGGCTCTTAATAATGGCTTAGGCCCGGGGTACTTGCAGGACCATCTCCAGCCGTTCTCCCATCGTCCTGTGCACTCTCACAGAGTCGGCCTCCTCAGGGTGCCGTCGGCCAAACAATGTCGGCTGACGACCCCCAGGGGGAGGGCATTCTCTGTGGGAGCCCCGACCCTCTGGAATGGATTGCCCACTGAGCTCAGGACAGCCCCCGACCTTCTTTCCTTCCGTCGCGAGCTGAAGACGTGGCTCTTCTGCCAATTAAACTGATCCGTTTGGGGGTACACTGGTATAATTTTAAATCGTTTTTTAATTGGGTTACTGATTTTAATTTGGTATTGTATTGTGATTTGTATTGAAGTTGTCATTTTGTAAGCCGCCTTGAGTCCCTAGGGAGAAAGGCGGCATATAAATCGCAATAAATAAATAAATAAATAAATAAATAAATAAATAATAATGAAACCTTTCCTTAGGTTTTTAATTGGAAACTTTCCCAACAATTGCATATGTGTATATAGACCAGGGGTGAAATCCAGTGGGTTCTGGAGAACTGGTAGCGGAAATTTTGAGTAGTTTGGAGAACCAGCAAATCCATCTCTGACTGGCCCCAGAGTGGGGGGGAATGGAGTTTTTGCAATATTCTTCCCCCAGAAATGGGGAGGGAATGGGGATTTTGCAGTATCCTTCCCCTGCCACTCCCACCAAGCCACACCACAACATGCCCACCAAACCACACCCACAGAACCAGTAGTAAATTTGGATTTCACCACTGATATAGATCCTGCATTAAGTTTCTTCTGTGGGACAGCGCTTTCCAAATTTCTTTTATGTTAATGCAAGATATCCATTAAGGAACCATCATATTTCAGAAAGAAAAAAGCCACATATATGTCCCTATTGTGGATCATTTTAGTTCATTTTTACAAAAAAAAATCATTTCAGCTGGAGTGGAAATTCCTGCCACATAGCACTCACCATAAAGAACTTTTGTACATTGCTGGATTTGTTGTCTCTCTAACTGATAGAACTTTGCCTCCCCATCTATTGTGGCGATATCTTCCTTGAGATATGCAATGCCCTATAAGGATACAGCCAAAGAAAGAAAACATTCATGTAGAAGCTATTGATACAGTCAGCCTGGTGAGATTCCTGTAAATAGGCAAGCAACAATAAAAAAGTATTTCTGGTCAGTTCACAGAACTGCTCTGGTTCCTTAAACTTGCCAGACTGACTGCATTCTCTTAGGAACGGTCAGATCAGGGTTTCAGGGATTCTGGTCAGGTCTGTGTCACTTCCTGCTATGCAAGGTCTCTAAACTTGCCAGTCTCTTCACTCCTCCCCCTACTCTAGCTGGAGATTTCACTATATTAGATTTTCTAAAATCCAAAACTGAACATTATCCTACAGCTTCAAATTTAAAAATAACTGTTGTGTCGTGAATAAGAATTAGAGATGGTTGAAGAAAGCAAGCAAGCAAGCAAATCAGATTAAAAAGATTTCAAGCCAAACTCAATTATTGGCAACTATCTGCACTGGCTATGTTTTATTGGCAATAATTTAGAGGTGGCTTGCCACTACCTTCTCCCAAATGTATTTTCTGACTTTCCAGTATAATCTAATTATCCAATGGCCAAGGTTTTTTTTTCCAGCTTCTCTGAGATCAACCAAGCCTAGTTGGGTGCTGCCAACAACAAATCTAACATCTGTTCTTAAAGTTATAATTTTATTATTATTAAATTTATATGTCACCCACTTCTAGATGGATTACAACTTCTTAAAACAACATCATTTGATCATCACAATGACTGCTGGAGGGGCCCTTCACACTCTATTACTCTCTCTTGAGTTACTTTCACACTGCTTCCCATTTTCCAAAGGATTGCCTACCAAACATCTTTTTTTCTCCTTTAACCTTAAAACCTCCCAATTATCCTATGCTTTCATTCTATTATTATAAGCGATAGTTCCATTTTACTCTTCTTTTATGAATCTAAATACATCTCAGGTGGATGTGTGCATTTTCTGTTTTTCCCAGACACTTCCTGTAATCTTCAAACCAGATTATTAAATAATTATAACCAAAGACTATGCTTTATTTCTCTATAGGGGATGGGCACAGCTTTTAATGGATTATTCAAACAAAACCAGTGAACTGCAGAAGAAAGTTGGCATGG